GCCGATATCTGATCGGATACTTGTGCACAATCTGATGGATATTTCTCAAGGCAACTCAAGCGGCCTCCATCAGAACTTAGGATATACTTTGAGACAACTGAATGCCTCCTCATCCAAAGCGTATAAACTTAAACTGTATACATACCTCGAACATGATATCAATATTATACTCAATGTAATACCCAGTCTGGGTCCCCACCTTTCTTCTTTTGAAAACTTTTGAAAAATGTAAGTGTTGCTCTTGGATAGCTATATCTGCAAGCTACATAAAAATATAAACAAATATACTAAGTACTATGCTCGTATACTCAATAAGATTTAACTCTTACTTATCCGAATCTTAAAGATATTCAATGAGCTTAATATGTCTAAAATAAATATTAAGTCATCAAACATCTTAACTTTTTCCAACATCATCAACATGATTTATAAACTCATCTTAATCTTTTACTCAATCAAATATTTAATTCATCATACATCATATCTCCCAAATTTTAAATATTGGCTTATATTAAATTTTAACTTAATTAACTTGAAAGTGAAAATAAACTCAAGTCACACTTCAACTTTTAATCATAACATTTAATTATGATATAAATATGTCATACTTAATATAATCTTTATGAGATTATATACTCAACATATTAAACTAAAACTTTGCCAAATTGCTCATCACTTATATGAGAATTGATCATAATAATCTCACTTTAATAACTTGATCATATCATGAATATTCTTGCATATATGCTCATCTTTACATATATGCCTTGTAATTATCATAACTCATTCATTTCTCATCTTCAAACCATGAAATTTAACAGTCATAATCTCAACTCATAATTAGACATGTCATACAAATTTTATAATTTTAGCATGCATATACATCAAGTTATTAGAATTTAAAGACATAGTGAACATAAAATTCATCTTGCATGTTCAACTTCAAAAATTCATAACTCAAGCTATACTTTGTCAAATCACTTAATTTTTTTCATGTACTCCTCTTTTACATAAGAATCATTCATTTAAATCATACTTTTCCAGCTTATTCATATCTTTATCAACATCTCATCAAATCAAGCACAGATATCATATAATTGATCTTGAACAACTTTAACTTTTTGTATTCATAGAATCAATTATAAATTTAACTTCTAAATCATGATATACTTACTTATAAACATGTAAACTCATTATAAAAACATGAACTTAAGCATAAAACTTTAAGATAAGTAAATTACCTCCTTCTTGCTAGAATCGTAACTTGATTCTTCACTTCTAAATTCTTCACTTCTTCACAATTTCTATTACTTATCTCTCTTACACTCATATATATCTTTTGGTACTTTTCTTTGGTGTGAGAACTCTGATTTTTAGGCCTCCATTTATAGGCACAATTTGGCAAGACATCATAATGGAGTGAAGAAATGAACAAAATAAAAATTTAAACTTATAAACTTAATTAATCATAAACTATTTTATGATTAACTTGTATTCTTATCCAAACATAATTAATCATCAAATATGGCCTCTATTCATAGCCATGAATGAGCTTTTTGGTAGATAAAACTTATTCCACTAGGTTTAATAAAATTCTCACCAATAGTTGAAAAAAAAAATGCTAACTTAAAGACTTAGCAAAACTTTGTTGTGATTTTCTCATCTCATTCTCACCAATTGATGACCAAAATTTCGTGTTTAATGTGATGTAATTGATTCCATATATTATTGAAAAAATTTCACCATTCATCATATAAAAATCTTTGGAACAAAATAATAAAAATAATAAAAATCATCTTTTTTTATTACTTATGAATTTTCTTTTAAAATGGCTGATTTTTAAAACTCTTTTACTGAAAAGTAATGCTCATATATGGTCTTGGATCATGCTAATAAACCGAGAATAATACAATTTACGGAACTTAATTCGGACTTAAAACGAACATTTACCATAAAACTGAAAATTCTAAAATTTAAATTCTTTACTCACAGTTTTTCTTCAATTTAATAAACATATTGCTTCTTAGGATCTAATATAATTATCTTGAAATATTCTACATTTACGGAACCACATTCGGACTTAAACCGAACGATTACCGTAAAACCGAAAATTCTAAAAATTTCGGTTTCTCTTAAAATAATTTAAATAGACTATAATGTCTAAATAAATTTTCTTACTTCTTTGAACATTTATCACTTAAATGTTCATGGATACTTAACCGCACTTCGAGACTTAACTTGTATCAACTTATGCTAAAGCTCAATATTATGATCTTATCTTGATGACTTGAACACTTAGAAAAATTTTAAGTATTTAGTACTAAGGCTCGGCTATTTCTTAATTAAGTTCAACTCATGACCGAACATACTTGAGTTCAGTTCACTACTTTTCTTAAACGATTAATCAAAATATACTCAATTTCGATTATTCGTTATCTTATATTAATTAATCCCGTCTTATAAATCCATTTATAAACAGACCAGAATTAATTAATTACTGAACTGACTCGATTACTAAATAAAATTTAACCGAGAATACTTTCGCATTAAAGTCGAAATTATAACTGAATAACTTAATAATTGGCTCGGAACTAGGAACACGCATTATTAATAAAAGTAATTAGTTCAACTTAGAATAATTACTTTTATTAATTACTGAATGGGATATTACACTTTAGTCATGGTCGAGTTTGATTTCAAACACTTGCTCAACCCAAGTCTAGGATTGTTCAAAACAAGTGACCACCCAGCTTTTCAAAAGCCTTAGTCATGGTGGAGTTTGCTATAAAACACTTGCCCAACCCAACTCTAGGATTGTTCAAAACAAGTGACCACCCAGCTTTTCAAAAGCCTTAGTCATGGTGGAGTTTGATTTCAAACACTTGCCCAACCCAAGTCTAGGATTGTTCAAAACAAGTGACCACCCAGCTTTTCAGAAGCCTTAGTCATGGTTGAGTTTGATTTCAAACACTTGCCCAACTCAAGTCTAGGATTGTTCAAAATAAGTGATCACCTAGCTTTTCAAAGGTCGAACTCACTTCTCAAACTTGCATAAATGACAATGGTCGTGTATTATACATCAAAAATCATGGTTAAGGAGGCTAGCATGATGGCTTATACTTGCATGTATGGTGATATGGCTCGGGGTGCAAAAATGGCATATTTCACGAACTAGTTGACCGAACAAATGAACTCCAAATAGGCTCAAACTTATACACCATCTTTCTTATAATTTATAAGAGTCCTTTAGCTAATAAAATCGGCCTAAGCATCAATGTACTAAAAATCCGATTTTAAGCCTTTAATTTCTTAAAATTCGAAACTCATGGAAAATGACATGCATGGCCTCATTACTCTTCATGATAAATCTTATTTTATCATAAGATGACTAAAGAATAAAGGTTGCTCGAGCTTACCTTCACCGAAGATGGAAAACGAGTGCTAGGGACTTGTTAGGGCTCGGTTCGCGGCTTTCGGGCTATGGCTCGCCTTGGGTGCCAATGGCTGCAAGGAATGCTTTCACAAGACTTATAAAAATCCAAAAATGATTGAAAGATGATAAGGCTCGTGAGAAGTGTCTTGGAAGTGGCTTAGGCTCGGTGCTCTCCTTTTCCAGGGTCTCTCTCGCGTGCAAGGTGGCTAGGAGTGCCCTTCTTGGATTTTCTCTCAAAATATTACTAAGTGTTCGAGCTATGGAGTGTCTAAGAGCTTAGTTTCCTCTGAAGATTGGTGTTTTTAAAGAGTTAGGAGTGGAGGTTCAAGACTTGGTCAAAAGGGACAAAAATTGGGGGGACATTCCTCCACCACATGCTCATAGGACTTAGGGATGGTCTTGGACTTGTCTTGACTGACTTTGCATGGTTTTTGGAGAGATTTTAGCACAAATTCTGAGGGAACATGTCTGGTCGGCCTCAAACACAAGTGGGGAACATTTGCTTCATCCCATTAATAAAATATTCACAAATTCATGCACTAACTTGACCAAAGGCTAGTTGACTTTGACCCAAGACTTTCCTAGGGACATTTGGGATCAAAATGTTCCTTTTTTATCTGGTTGTAATCACTCAAAATTGGGCTCGGTGGAAGTGGGCTGGAACTTCACGAAAGGGGCTCGGAAGTGGGCTTGTGCATGCTGGGTCCGGTTCCCGGGCGCGGGCGATTCGGCCGAAACTCGTTTTCGCGCGATTTTTCGATTATTGTCGGACCCAAAACTCATCTCGACTATGGGAAATTATTCCCGGCTTAAAAAGGAATAAACGGGCTAAAACTCATGGCCATTTTTCTCCAACAAACTGAACTGATACTTGGACTAGAAAATTATTCGACTTTGAGATAAAATCTCGTTCGACTAATTCTCGACTCCCTACAAATGGAAACTTAAAAAAAATGAAGAGCTTACTCACGGAAACTACAATCGAGCATGATCTAAATAAGACTTTAGCTTAATCTTAAAATAGTCGAGCATTATATAAATGGAAGTCGGGGCGTTACACTTGGCCCAGTGCCTTGGCATGGGACTAGGCGCGAGGCTCGTGACCGAACATACTCGGTTCCGGTCAAGACTTGACTTGGACGATTTCTCGAAATATACTCGATTTCGATTATTCGTCAACTTCTGAGTCCAGTCTAAATAGACGGTCCAGAATTAATTTTTAAAACTGGCTCGATTACTTAATAGAATTTAACCGAGTATTCTCTCGACTTAAAGTCGAACTTGAACTGAATAATCTCGCATACTTAAAAAATAGATGAGCACTTAAACATATAAATTCTTATAATGTCTTTATTGATTAATTAATCACCAAGAATTTTGATGCGTATCTAAATATAGTACATGAATGCATTGTTATACCGTTTAGAATAGCTAGAATTTGGCTAAGTGTTCATATTTTAATAAACTAGAACGCAAATGCATGGGATATCAACATTGAAAATAATTTTATTAAGGTTATTATGCATGAATGAATATTAACAATAATTTTATAAAAATATATCGTGTTAGTATTAAAATTAATTTTATATATTATATATTTGGCAACATGAATATAGTTTACTCATTTTTTTGTAATCACTCCCACAATTGAAATTTTTTTCCCCAGCGGCTCCTCTCATCACAGTCTATCACATAATTTTTTTCTACCATACCAAAGAAAATGCACAAGCTCTTTTCTTTCTCTGACCTGATTACATCTTTGGTGTCATAAATCAGCGAACACCATGCGCATCAATTTTACGTTATCACTGTACATGTGGCACGAGAGTCCTTACCAGATGAACACGGTTGAGAATGAGAGATTTGTGCATTTGAAAAAGTAAAAAATAAAGGAAAAGAAACGGCCTTCATCAGCTTCAATACCATTGCACCAGTAAAGCCGATTTTCTCGCACCATCTCTTTATCTATATAAGGAGTGTTTGCAAGAACTTGAGTGAGGAAGAGAGAGAGAGAGAGAGACCAATTCTAGGAGGGAAAAGCGGAAATATTTTTCCATTTCCCTCATAAAAGTCGAGAATCACTTCTCAGTTCTTGCAAAAACTCCCATAAGATCTGGGAAAGCAATTTTTTTCGTAGCACGAGAAAACAAGAAAAAATGGAATCCCCCTAACCAGATAGAGATGAAGTTTTCCTATGCCAAGGGAGGCGAATTGAAGGCCGGGATAGCCCAATCGATGCCCTTGGAGTTGAGCTTGAGCTCTTGGGCACGTCAAGTAAACGAGGAGAAGTAAGGTAACTATGTGATTTTGACACTTTCTTCATTTCCTCCTTAATTTTCCCGAACTCCTGCTCGAGTTCCCCGACTCGGGATCTCATCATCTCCATGTCAACTTTTAGGCCCTGGTTTTCGCGGACAACTGTCACCCACCCATCTCGTTGGGCCACTTGGCTGGCCCTCGAGGGCCCAGGGGCACTTTCGGTATCCATAATGTTGAGGCAGCCTGCCAGGGCCGTCCTCAGCTGCATCTGCTCGAAAAACAAGACCTGTAAAACAACTCTCAGTGGCAGCCTCTCATTTTGGGACGCGTGTGCACATGCTTCTAGAGAGAGCTTCTGGAAGTCGATCATCGTACACAGGCTCTCGCGATCTTTGTCCGGGAGCCAAGGATGTGACTACTTGGACAAAACAAAATGCAACATAAATAACTTTGAAAAATGTTTGCATACAAAAATTTTCAAAAAAAATTCCAACATTTTAATCCAACCACTTTTTTTTTTTTTAACTCAACCCCATTATCATAAGTATTATTAATATAATTAAATAATATTAATCAATTATTCATACACATCACATCAACCTTAATTCACTGTTCATCCACTTCACTCACATTATTTTAACTAACCATCACTTCAAATCATCTCTCTCCTACTTTTACATCAAATCATTTTAGTTATTTTATTTTAAATATTATTTTAATAAACGCAGCAACTACTAACATACCACAATTTTTAAAATTAACCAAACCAAACCAAAAAATTCAAACCTCAAAATTTTTTATATCAAAACATCTTAACCAACGAGAGGACAAAAATAAGATCCACACTCAAAGAAAGACTTGAAATCGAACCTTAAAGTATATATCCAAAGCCCGGTACAGCCCGTCGTGCAAAGATCTAGAAGATTCCGGCAAGGCCTCGGCCAGTGCACGTATCTTCCTGAGTTTCAAGTTAACGTCCGAAGCAATCTCCGCTACGTAATCATCCACCAATTTAGCTACTCTCTTCAACCGTCCAGATTCCGGGGAAGTCTCCAAGTCGAGCAACGATGAAGGGGACACGAGAGCCAAGTCAGGAGCGGACGACACAAAATACTGGACCATTCTCTCCACACAATCACTATCATACAAAGTGTCGGATTCCGAATAACTAGGGATTAGAAGACTATCGAGAACCGCAAACTCCAACTGTGCACCTATCCTCCTCTCCAAACAATCCCGACACTCGTCATTAACTCCCAAGATCAATGCAACGCGTAAAAGCCCGAGCAGAAAACGGCAAAACGATTTACCCTTTTTGTCGGGCAGTAATTTCACGACACTTTTCAATAAAGCATCCTGTTCGATATTCGCGGGCTTCATGCTGAAACTAGCAACCGTTCCTGGAAGCCCGGTTTGCTGCCACCTGCCCAGGCCTGGAAGGTACTTCTTGCAGTAGTACATAATGGCCCGCAGCAAAATTTCGGGCTTTACCCCTTTAGACCCCATGGTCAGTATTAACCTCTCGAATAACTCGACACAAAGATACGAAACGTCCTCAAACCACCAATCGGATTCAGTTTTTGTATCTATTTTCGCGCCTGTATTAATCCCGTTCCATAAAATGCTGCCCCCCGGGCTCTGAAGGCTGCCATACATCATCATGGGCCACCCGAACAAAGTGGGATCCGTGAAGATCATAACGGATAAGGCGTTCATGCACCGGTTTATGATGTGGAGCTTGTCGGCTCTCGAGGTTATCTTTTCGCAGCTTTGGAGGGCCAATATGCAATCCTTCCACTGGCGCAGGACTTGTTTATGGAAAAAGGCCTCGGATTTCGAGAGCATGTTGTTTTCGCCATAATCGTCAGTCATTTGGAGGTAATCGGATGCACAGTACAAGGTTACGATGTTGCGGGCTGTGAACTCTATGCGGGAGTTGTAACAGAATTTCACTATGGCTAAAAATGTGTTGGGCCCACCTGGGAATTGCTCGAGGGCTAGTGTTGATGTGGTGTTGGTGGTGGTCTGGGGTTGTTCGAGGTCGGTAGCTATCTTTCCGCATCGTGATATGAGAGGAAACTGAATATGAAGGGTGGTGGACATTAATACAGTTGGAATATACTTGGAAGTAAATGACATGAACATATGTAAAAGGACAGGCAAACATGGAGAAACACCAAAAAAAAAGGAAAAGAAAAAGGATTCAAGTAAAAGAAAGGATTTCAGATGTTAAAACTTAACAATTCTGATAAATTATCAACAATTATATGACAGACATAAAGAAAGCTATAGATTTGCCTAATTAGGGTGGACCTTGTAAATTCATATAGGATATTATTAGCACAACAGTGGTTTCTCAAATATCAAATTCGACATTAAACAAATTAATGTTAGTAGCAAGATACAAAAGATGTTTGTAGTTTAAATCTGTGCATCCATATCAATTGCTTGTTGTCGGTAAGGCATGTCCAAATGTTATATGCACAAAACTTGTTCGTTCTAGCTGAAACTTTTAGTAAAGAACTTTGTGAAATTTACATTGTGGTTTAAATCATGAAATGATGTATAGCCCCAAACCTTCAAAGAGAGAGCCAAGTGAAGGGTCACATGAACTCTTCTTCGATTCTTTTGCCTCTCTGACCTCGAAATAGATGAGTCAATTTAGGAGTTTTTCTTTTTGCAAGAATTGATTAGGCACAGATAGTTGGCCACACCCCACAAGACANAAACACTATTCCTATTTCATCCATCTATATTCCTAGAAAAGCCACTGAATTCAGAAATCAGAAGAAAAATGCCGGCAAAATTTCGGAAGACAGATCAACACGAACTCAAACCAAACACAGATACCTTGTGAAGATGGAAGTTTACTTCATCCACGACCACTGTAATATCGCTCGGCAAACTCGAATTGCAGAACCTGACGTAAAAAAAAATAGAATCAGTATCGTGAGTAGTAGTTCTTTGTTTTTCACTTTAATTTCTAATATATGTAAGTTACTCTCATCCCTCCATCCACCAGGATGTAGGCCAGTTTTATCTTCATATTAAGATCACTTTACTATTATATATAGGCAAGTGTTGAATAATACCCAGTTCAATCTAACATTACCCTTTTCAAAACAATTACTTTCTTATTATTATTAGGAATTCGGCACCAACAATATATAGCAAAACATAATAAAACCTTTATTTATTTTTCTAAAGGAAGCATTGGTATGGAATCCAGTAGCATGTTTTGAAGAGCTTGCTGAACGACTAAACGTAATTAATTAACTCAAACTTAAAACTGCAAAATCCTTGGGTTTATATACTTATTTTGCCAATTTGGTACCTCAATTATACTTATTTTGCCAATTTGGTACCTGAAGTTTGCAATCAATTTATTCAGTACCCACTACCCAGATTACATACTTTTTAATTAATTAGTACCTAACTTAATTTGAACAGATAATAACCGGTTTTCTAATGATTTTGGCCGGTCATGATAACATAGATATTTGTGTCATTTCCACTTTCAGGCACGACCAGCCCAAAGGTCTCAAGACTCAGAGAGATTCACATTAATTTTTTTTCACTTATCTCCAAATTTTGATTCTCAAAAGAAATCAATATCCCTCGCAATTTTAATTAAATTGAAGATTTGAAGGTGGAATTTCAATAATATCCAACAATGGGTTGGATCATCCGCCACAATGTCAACGAAAATCCTCCTGAATTCTTATGCCCTAATTACAGTAAGTTCATTATTTTTTTTCTTTCAATTACTATCCTTCATTCTCAAGAAAAAGATGAGTATGTTTTTGTTGCTTTAGGATATGAATTAATATTCTTAAAGATGAAAAAGATGAGTATGTTTTTGTTGCTTTATGATATGAATTAATATTCTTTGTGCGCATTGTAGGGTTAGTGGAACTAACTCAAAATAATTTTGGTATTTTTGCACTTATTTTATTGAAGTAGCATTTAAGCAAATGAATTAAAACATGTTATTTTTTTCCCCTCACCCCATCAGGTTCTGGGTCACAATTTTTCACCATACGGGTCACAATTTCTCACCATACGAATGTACCATTCTGGAGAAGTTGTAGAATATGGCACCAGGTATTATGTTGGGGAAAACATGAGAGTGAGTCATATTGATTTTTGTGACCCGGATGAAATGTCATTTTTGGAAATCATTAATATTACTCGGGATTTGGGTTTAAAGGAATGCAAGAAGTGTCACGTGAGTACAAATGGGATAGATAATTGCAGTTCTTTGTTTGAGATTCAAAATGATTCTGATGCTTTGAATTTGGTTAACTTTTTGGATGAGAATAGGGTGGTAGGCATTTATATTGAGCATCAAAACAGTACATTGAGCACCATTGCATCTGAACCATGCAATGATTACTTGCCTAGTGTTGATGAGGGAATGGAATTTATGGGAGAATCTGACTTGGGTTGTAATATCCCACATCGGTTGCTAAGGAGAACGAAACATGCCTTATAGAGCGTGTGGATACCTTAACTTGTAGGACGCGTTTTGGTGAGCTGACTCCCAAAGGCAAAACCGTGCGGGTGAGCGGGCCCAAAGCGGACAATATTCTACAGCGGGTGGACTGGGCTGTTACACACCCGCTGTAGAATATTGTCCGCTTTGGGCCCGCTCACCAGCACGGTTTTGCCTTTGGGAGCCAGCTCACCAAAACGCTCCTACAAGTTAAGGTATCCACACCCTCTTATAAGGCATGTTTCGTTCTCCTTAGCAACTGATGTGGGATATTACAATCCACCCCCCTTGGGGACCCAGCGTCCTCGCTGGCACACCAGTCCGGGTACTGGCTCTGATACCATCTGTAATATCCCACATCGGTTGCTAAGGAGAACGAAACATGTCTTATAAGAGAGTTAAGGTATCCACACCCTCTTATAAGACATGTTTCGTTCTCCTTAGCAACCGATGTGGGATATTACAGATGGTATCAGAGCCAGTACCCGGACTGGTGTGCCAACGAGGACGATGGGTCCCCAAGGGGGGTGGATTGTAATATCCCACATCGGTTGCTAAGGAGAACGAAACATGCCTTATAAGAGGGTGTGGATACTTTAACTTGTAGGACGCGTTTTGGTGAGTTGGCTCCCAAAGGCAAAACCGTGCGGGTGAGCGGGCCCAAAGCGAACAATATTCTACAGCGGGTGGACTGGGCTGTTACATGGGTGAAAACGGTAGTGATGGTGACACTGACAGCGGTCAATCACTTGGGACAGGTTCTTCCAAGTCGGAGGCTTTTGTAGAGAGCGATTGGGAGTTTTCTGAAAATGATGATCTTCTTTATGAGAAAAACATAGATGCTGAAGTTGAATGGGGATATTTAGAAATGAGAGGCTCTAAAAATAAATCAATTTGTAGTGGTAGTGAAATGGTCCACCAAGTTGAAACTATTAAAAGCAAGTTACAAGTTGATGAGCAATTTAAACTGGGACAATGTTTTCCTACTGTTGAGTCTTTTAAGAAGAGTGTAAGAGCACATTCTATTAGGGATGGCAGGGATATAACTTTCACATTAAATAGAAAGTTCAAAATCTAAGCCAAATGTAAACATGACACGTGTCCCTGGGTAATCTATGCATCAAGGGTCAGTGATGAAGACACCATTCAAGTAAAGACCTACATTGGCAAGCACAAGTATCCTAGAGCTCAGAAAGTCGCTCAGGCAATACCTAAGTGGATAGCTAACTACTACAGGGACAAAATAGCAACTGATCCCAAGTGGCCTATTGATTCAATGCTTTTTATCATGCAAAAAGAGCTTAAAATTGTGTTTAATAAATGGCAGATGTATAAGGCAAAAAAGATTGTGAAGGACTCATGTCTAGGGACTGATGTAGAGCAATTTGGCATGTTGTGGTCATATGCCGAAGAGATTAAAAACTCCAATCCAGGCACCACAGTGAAGATAAAATCGAAATTGGTGGAAGGACGACCACAATTTAAAAGAATGTATATATGTTGGGGGGCTTTAAAAAAAGGGTTTCTTGGGGGTTGTAGGCCCGTGATATGCTTGGATGGGTGTCATCTTAAAACCCAGGTAGGTGGAATTTTGCTAACTGCTGTAGGTGTTGATGCAAATAATTGTATGTATCCATTTGCTATGCAGTCGTTGAGAAAGAAAAGAAAAAATCTTGGTTGTGGTTTTTAGAGTTGCTAGTTGCCGATTTGAACATTGTGAATAGTTATTCTTGGACAATAATGTCAGATAAACAAAAAGGGTTAGTAGATTCTGTTGAGCAGTTGCTACCTAATTGTGAACACAGGTTTTGTGTCCAACATTTATACAGCAACTTCAAGTCTTCACATAAAGGGCTAGCCTTAAAGCAGATATTGTGGAAAGCTGCAAGGGCCACAAAAATTGCAGATTTCAGTGCTGCTATGAATGAGCTAAAATCCAGAGATGTGGAAGCTTTTGAATGGCTGGCAAAGAGGCCCCCACAACAGTGGTCTAAGTCCATTTCAGTTGTATTCCTAAATCAGACATGTTGCTCAATAACTTGTCTGAAAGCTTCAACTCTATGATTTTAACTATGATTTTAACAGCAAGAAATAGGCCTATTATATCCAGGCTTGGATATTCCCCCGCTCAATGAAGAAATACAAACACTTCCAAGAAAGGTTAACAATAATTATACATTTTCTTTTAGCGTATTATGATTAATTATCCATGATCCTTTTAATAGCTTCAAGTGCGATATACATGTAGGGTTCCAAAAGGAATAGTTCTGGTCTTACATCTTTCGAGCAGCCCCAAAAGGTTTCTCAGAACATGCAAAAACAGAATAAAACACAAGGAGTTAGAAAAAAACTACAAGTAAGTATTTGCTTTTTTTTTTTGTGGTGTTTAAATAATTAATATTCTTCTTTTTGATATTTGGTTGCAAGGTAAGCAAAAACCAAATGGAGGTTAAACACAAGGATCAACAGATTGAGCTAATGTAGAACCTCGAGGATCAAAACCTACATGCATAGAGATCGCTAGGAAAACCTACAGTGGGAAAAATTTTCAACCAAGAATGGCCTATCTTCTTCAAATCAAATTGTGTCCTCGAAGGAAGAACCCGTTACATTGGGATCTCACTAATTTTTCAATTGTTGCCTTAAAGTACAGTCACAAATTGGGGATTTAATAGACAAGCCTTTTTGGAATTTTGATAGCTTTATCTTTTCATCCTGTCTGAATATGGTGTTTTGAATGGTCAATTTTATCTACTCTATTTTTACATTTATGAAAAACAATGAATTCATTTTGTCATTTAATTGGGTACCAAATTGCATTAAGTACTTGTGATTTTTTCTTGCACGGGATCTATTGGTTTAATGGTGGAGCATTTTACATTGGTGTTATTTATTTTTCTCACTTTTTGTAGGGGTTTGTTGTTGTGTTTCCAGCTGGAAAGACATCTCGTTGAGGATGTCTTTGTATTTTACTTGTGCTGTAACATAAAATGACCGGCTAGACACATATAAACTGCCTATTCTAGGTCATATCTGAATTAGGTACTTATTAATTAAAAGAGGTGTAATTTAGATACTGAATCATTTAATCATATACTATAGGTACTAAATCAGCAAGATGACAATAGTTCACGTACCAAAATATCAATATCCCTTCTTCATCTGCCTGTTTGAACAGGCTCACAGTTCAATGGTCATCAAAAAATCAAAAGAAACGCCACGAAACTCAAGGGAATCAATCACACACACACGCACTCGGGAGAGAGAGAGAGAGAGGGGAAGGGGAACACACACGAGGAGGTGAGAGATAAGTACCAGTCATTTCCTTCTCGATGGAATCCAGAAATTTTCGCCATCATTAATCGGCAAACCTTGCAAGACCTTAAAAGTAATGTTTCCTCTGTTAATTAATAGTTTTGACCTAACTTGTATTCAATCCTTCTTCATCTTCTTCCGCCAGTTCTTAATAATAGCCCCAATTCAATTCAAATTCCCTTCCCTTTTTTATCTCTCCAACTCCAAATCATTAAAAGCCCCATTTATCTCAAATCCAGTTCTTTTCAAAGCAACAAAACCTCCTGACTATAATTATTCCCACACCTCAGCACTTCATTAAATAAGCACACACACTGTTCTAAACAAACCCCACAAGAAGGGTAGCCCACCAACTATTTCAACCACACATATATCAAATAATTTCAAAAATATTATAAAATTAAATAAAAAAAGGATAAACAGGTGTATTAAGGCCAGGGTTCAACTAGTCAACTCTCGGTTATCCTCATAATAGGGGGAAACAAAACAGCAATAATGACTCATAAAGACTCTCCCTTTACAGCCCCTGCTGTCCATGTCTTTGGTCATCAAAAGCCCAACCTATTGGTTTCTGAAGACACAAGCAACAGCATGGTAATTACCCTCACTCCAATCTACTTTTTCCATACGTAAATATATATAGACAGATACATATGGACAAGATACAGGTCATATAGAAAGAAAATCCAAGAATGTGACGAGGGTCGATATTAAGGGGAGGAAAAAAGGAAAATAGTGAAAAATAGAAGGAAAAGCTTTTTAGTCCAAAATCCTACCTTCTATTTTGGATTTTGAACCCATTATCCATCGCTCTAGTTATCTCTGTAATACATTATTTTTTTCATGTGATTGACACTCTGCTGGGAAGGAAATTTTTGGGTGGACGAGAAGAGAGAGGAGGGTCAAAATATGGAGAAGAAAACACGAGTAATCATGAGAGTGGAATGTTATGTAATGGCGTGTCTGTGGCGTGATTATTGTGAGAGGCTTTTTGTCGAACAGTTGGTGTAGGTTCATGGATTGATGGATCCAAGAACAACGCTTTTCTTTTCGTTTATTTTTAATAATAAGGAATAAAAAGAGTCGGGCATCGGATATTGCGCAAATGCGCATGCGAAGGGAATAAAAATAGCGTCAAAAGAATATATAAACAAAATGTGAGAGATCAAAGAAAATATTGAAATGGGTGAATCTGTGGCGAGAGGGAACGAATTAATTGATTTAGGGTGTGTTTGGTTCAATGGAGGGGAAGGGAGGGGAGGGATTTTAATGGAGGGGAAGGGAGGGGAGGGGAGGTGATGTAAAATAATTTTACCTTGTTTGGAGGGATTATTCAGGAGGGGAAGGGAGGGAAAATAGTAAACCTTGTTTGGTTCAAAAATTAAAGGAAGGGAAAATAAAATTAAAATGACAAACTTACCCTTAATGAAATAAGATAAAAAATAAAAAACAATTGAAAGTAGGGACTAAATGGTATTTTCACACCATCTTAACACATTTTCCTTCCAAATCCCTCCAATTTTGGAGGGGAGGTAAAGTGAGGGAGGGGAGGGAAATTTACTTAAAATTTTCCTCTCCCTCCCCTCCTAATTTTTCAACCAAACAAGAAAAAACTAAAATTTTCCATCCCCTCCCCTCCCCTCCCCTCCAAATCCCTCGAACCAAACACTAGGTTAGAGTTTGAAAGGCCATCGGCAAATCGGCTCATGATATGTTTTGACTAAAACAGCTGATGCAAATGATTCAGAAGAGAAATAATGAAATAAATAAATATATAAATATATTTATATAAAGAAATGATCATATGAGAAACATTAAATAGCGAAAGAAATAAGAATGAATTTGTACCATTAGATCAATGATATTAGTGAACATGATGAAGTCAAACATTAATAATTCTGTCAAAATGCAATGGCATAGTTGTAAACATATGCACATTTCATGGTCAAATAGACACCTCAAAGTGCACTTGTGTAATTTCAATTTTACATAATTAAGTGGACCCCACCACTAACCCATCCCCTCCCCTCTATCTCACACACAATTACACACACAAAAGATCTGTTTCCTTTTCACGATTCACACAGTTCACACACACACACACAGCCGGCGGCACCCCAGCGCACAGCCGCCGCCCGTCGCCTTCGTCCGACCCGTCGCCACCATCCCCAACCACCGTCACCGTCCGACCGTCGCGCACGTCCAGCTCTCCCCCGCGGATCCCAATCCCAGCCGGCGCTCCTCCCTATCCTAGCCGCCGCCATCTCCACGAACACTCCTCCTCCGCCTACCACCGTCGACCGCCAACAGCACTGTCGATTACGTCAATACCGTCTTCACAATTCGCCGTCGATGCCATCCCTCAATCAACTCTGCCACCGCAGCCACAGACCCGCTGGCGGTTCACCACAAAACTCGCCATTGCCGACCTCCGCCGTCTCCCACCATATGTCGCTGCCGTCACTGTATGTCTCGAGGTACGACTACAGCATCTTGCTCAAAGGCTATAAGAAATCGATAATTCATCGAGCATCGACGGTCTCAGATCTGACGGGTGGTTCCTCGGTGAGATCCCGATGAATATTTGAAGGTTAAAGAACCTCACGACATTCAAATACGGCGGTAATCTAAATTTTCGAGGGCAAATTTCCCGGTTGCGGAGCCGGCGGGCTGGGGCTCACTCTTTCGGCGGGATCGACCAGACCTTTTAATTGAGGGAGTTTGTGATGTCGCCGCCGGATATGGCGTCGGAATCTGGTCGAGGGAGGTGACGACGAGCATCTGCATGGTGGTCCGGCGGGGCTGATGATTGATTTGAAAAGAGGTCAAGAGACATGGTGTTTGGGAATGAATGGGGGCATGGCTAAAATTTATAAATTAGATAAAGCGTAAGGACTTGTAATTCAATTTTAAAAAACTTAAATATGTACACTTTAGATCATGGGTTAGATATATAATTTATTAAAAATATTAAATGCACAATAATGACAAATAAAGTGCCCTCATAAAGTACATAAAAATATATAAATAATAATAATAATAATTTCATATAGTTTGGTTATTTCAGTTATTTTAAAAAATAAAGTTGACCTTAATACTGAAATATGATTTTTTTAAAGTAAAATAAAATTAAAACTAATAATTGAATTGAAATATAAAAATTTTGAACTGACAATTTGTAATGCCCCGTTTATTTGTGAATTATTTGAGAATATTATAATTATTTTTATTGTTATTATTATTGTTATTATTATTTTTGTAATAATATTTATATTTATTTTTCTTGAGTGCCATAATATTATTAATTGCCAAAATGTGATTATATGCTAAATGTCTAATTGTCTAATTGATTTTCGTGATTTATTATTAAATGAGAATAATGTGTATTAATATATATATGTAAAATATATATATGGTTCGGATTATTCATTTTATTGAGCGATTTATTTTTCGGGCCGAATTGATTTAATGTTACATTTAATCGAGCCCGAGAGAACCGCTTGACCCGCGAGCCCGACAAACCAAACAGGCCCACACCCGTTTTGGGCCCCTTTGTGCACGTGTGTGTTATCTTGTGTTACAAGATTAATTAAAACCCAGACTCTTGAGATAATCACGTCGCTGCTTTCTTTTATTTTATCTGTTCTTCTCTTTTCTCTCTCGCAAGAACAGAACCCGCAGTCTCAAATCTCTCTCTCTCTTCCCCCGCAGTCGTGATTTCCTCAGCATCTCTCTCGCTCAATCCCTCTCTTTTCTCTCATGAGTCCGATCGCTACTCGTCTCCCTCACCTTCTCTCGTTTTCCGATCTTCGCCGACGGATCTTCCCTCCTCCACGCGCCAGCAGACGACGAAACTTTCTTCTCCTCTCGTAACTCTGGAGACCTCGCAACAGCAACGCCGCGACCCGAGCCCTCCGCTCCTACGGACTTCAGGCGAGCCTTTTCTTCTTCGCGACGGCCCTGCTGCTCCTCCGCCGGAACTCGCCGTGAATCAGTAGCTCTCCTCGCCGTGAATTGCTCCGCCCCGTCGCGCATCTCAGGTCGCCGTGAACCATCCTCTATTCACGACTCGCCGGCGAGACCACCCCAGCGGCAACCCCGACGCGCAGGCCTTCTGCGAGCAGCACCATCTCAGCCCTTGCCGCCACTGCTCCGCCTTGCTCAGCCGCCGGCGACCCCTGCCACTGCGATTCCGGCAGCCACCATATTCCGGCGAGTTCTCTCCACCACACGCAGGACCTCTTCCGCGAGTCGCTGTTCGCGAGCCCCTCCTCCGCCCAAGACGTAGCTGGCAGCCGTTAGCATCTCCTCCACCAGCAAGCTCGTCACGGCCCCTTCCGGCGAACCCCTTTTCGGCGAGCTCAGAGACCCCGCGATCTGCAACTTCACCGGCGAGTTCATCCCTCGCAGCAGCAAGCTCCTTCCCGTGCGACGAGCCTTCTTTTTTCGGCGAGACGAGTTTACCGTCGAGCCATTCGTGTTTGTGACGTTTTCGAGTTATTCTCGAGAACGGTACCTCATCGTTTTTCCGTCTCGTTTTATTCGTATATGTTTTATTTCGTTGAATGTTTTCGTATAGTGCTCGTTGATTATTGATGTGAATATATTGATGTGAATTTGTGCGACTATACATTGTGATGATTTCTTTTTGTGTTCGTATGTTCGGGATCTCTTCGATTTTCTCAAAAATCGAACGAGACCTCGAAAGTCGTGTAAGTCGGTGGATAATGGAACAATGTCGAGTCCTTGGTCTTATGAAAAGGCCTCGGACGAGAAATTTTATGTTGTGATTTAATTGCCAAGTTGTCGAGTTTGTAAATTGCTGTTTTGGTGTTCGAATTTTTAAAAATAGCTCGCTGCTCGAAACGATGTGAAATTTTGATGGATGTGTTATCTGCTCATTGCCTGCCTTGTGTAAAAATTTCGTAATTTTTGGAGGCCTATAGCTATTTTTAATAATTAAATTGTAATCTGTCCAGAATAATGTTAAATGCATAAAACTTTCATGCCTGACTGAAATGAGCTGAAATTTGAATATGTCATGCCTCTGTGACTTATATATGTTGTGTTAAAGTTTTAGAATTTTTTTGAGTTGATTTGATTGTTGGGTTCGCTAGTACCGTACGGGCTGTACGCAGCGGAATTTAAAATTTTTAAAGTAAGTATTTATCGTATAAATACAACACCCGTACATACTAATTGCGAATTAACTGATCGTCATCTTTAAAACATGCATCATATACAAATTTTGATTTGTTACTATAAAGTAAATACTAGTAAAAATATTTACCGAATGTCTTGAACTCCTTCACTATTGATGATGGATGAGGGAATCGGTTCCCGGTTGTAACTTCAACGACTTGAGGTTACTCGCTAGAGGAATCCAAGTGTCTTCCCTCTAAACGTATCCACCCTATGAAGCCCGGTTCCGACGACTTTCCTTCGCTAGTAGAAAAGACTCGGTTTTCTTGTATAGGAATATTTATGAATTTTATTTGGGAATTTTAAGAACTCTTTCTTGAAGTTTTATGAAGAACACTTTCTTCTCTTTCTAACACTTAGAAATTTAGGATCAAAAACTTCACTTAAATGCAAAACCATTTTGCACATATTTATACTAAACATTTTAGCATAAAATAATCAACATTTAGTAATATTAAATAAAATCAAATTTTATTTAAATAGTATTTACTAACTTTTGACTTTGAAAATAATAAGATATGTTAAGTAGTTCAAACAACCATCAACAACCATTTTATTATAATCATATTTATTATTTTAATCCTTAAATCATATTTAAAGATATAAATAATAATTGGATAATAAATCTTGAGAATCTTTCTCAAGACTTTATTATTATATCATTTTCCCAATATTATAATAATCATATTATTATTATTTTGGATTTTTGAAATTTAAAATCCTATTTTAAAATTCAACTTTATTAATTTAGTAATTACCTTAATTACTAAAGTAATATCCAAAATGTAATTAATCAATCTTATTGATTAATATATTCCTTTAATTGATATCTAATCAAATTAGATATTTATCAATTAATTCTAACCATTAGAAATACAATCTTTACCTTTGTTCATAATTAGTGTGACCTTTTAGGTTCACCTTAATACTAGTAGTGGGTTTACAACACTTTGTAATTTGAGTTAAATCTTATTAACTCTTATTCATGAATTAACCCTTTAATTTATGAACCCACATATCATGGTAACACCTAGCAAGTAGCATGAATCTAGTATTAAGTGAATAGCGAGTAAACCTATTCCGATTACAACTCCATACATGTAAAATCCTTTCGACATCTAATTTCCCGATTAAGTCTTGGGTATGATTTTGTCGAAACCCAAATTGACTTAATAACTATGATTCTATTTCATGTTTATTAACCCGGTTATGAATCACTATTCATCTCTGCCTTGGCCAAGGACTTTGGATTAATAACTATGAAACACATAGGAAATTCACTTATCTTCATAAGTGTCGAATCCTTTATTGGCCACTAACAAACTTCCATACATATTAACATAATACCCAACTTATCCCTTTAAACGATAGTGCTAGCTACCAAAAGGATAAATCAAAGTAGAATGTAATATGCACAAAGTTACCATTGTGCCTCAAGTCTTAGGATTAGTCATGTACTATTGTAACATGAAAATTCTTATTCGACTGAATAAATTCTTCATTAAGAATTTTCATACGGTCATGTTCAGTGAACTTGTTCTCTAACAAGCACCCACATAAATGTACTTACGTCTTACGCTAATGTTGATGGAATGCAACATTCTTGTCCAACAAGCATACAAACTATGTGCAAGTCTTTTATGGATTATTCGATATCCCATCTCGAAACATCCATCGACTTGGAACTGTATTTAAGATCACGGCTTTCAAGGTATGTTCCATGATCACCATCTCTATGCGCAACCATACCTTATAACCATAAGTGATCTAGGGATTTTATCTTAAGTGCAATTATAAGATAAATGCTTTCTCTTAAGATAAAGAAATGCCTTATTCATAATATAATTCCAATAGACTGTATTTACAAGTAGAATACGTCCAATTAGATTGGAACGCCGGGTACCCTACTCTAACATTGATGTGGTAAATATTTAATTTATTGAATCTGCAGAAACGTTGTTTGAATTTTTATAAATTGGTTACTGCTTGAAAAATTATGAAATTTTACTGAGAGGCCTACTTTATGTGTTTGATCATGTTTGTAAACGATGGGAATTTTTGGAGTCTGTTTTAATTCAGTTTGGATTTAAATTCGATAAACTTCTGTTGCTCGTATGAATTTTTAAAAATAGCAGCAATTATCATTTAAGGCTGAGATTTTTATACATGAACTTTAGCATACTGTATGTGGCCTGTGTAAAGATTTCAAGTTCAGATTCATTCATTAAGTCTGAGTATGAATTAATGTGCCCATTTTGCTTATATCTTGTTCGAATTTTATAAAATAGGGTATTTCGAGTTTAAAGCTAAAACTTTGTGGTTTTACATGTTTCTGGGAGATGAAATTTTGTGTAAAATTTCAGAGCTTAACTTGTAGG